CTATCCAAAATGCACTGACCTTCTTGAGTATATTCAAGGATTCTGACTTTCCCTGACTTATTCGGTCCTTGATTCAGCAATGCCTCCATAAATATTTACTGAGAATATCCTAGGCATTCTTCTAACCCCGAGGCTGCAACGGGGGAACAAAATACATACTGCCCTTGCCCTCCTACCATAATGGATCTGTAGGGGAGACAGATGACAGTGTCCAGTAACTGGCTGTGTGACTCTGAGTAGGTCCTTATTCTCTCTGGGCCTTTGGGGTTTAGCTTATTCACTACCCCTAATCCCCATGCTTAAGAGCCTTTGATGGCCCCTCGTTGCAAATAAAAAAGCAAGACGGGTATCTCTGGCCTGGTCTTCAAGGCGCCTCAGCGCTGGACTCTAGTCTACCTTCCTCAGCACATGCTCCCTGCTCCCCCACCCCCATTCTGCTCCATTTTTATTTAAACAACATTCATTTGTCACTTTCTAAGTGCCAGGCGCTGTCTAAATGCTTCACAGATTTTCAGTTGTTTAATCCTCACAGAAACACCTTGAAATGTGTTGTGATTCTCAACATCTCCATTTTAAAGATGAGGACATTGAGACAGAGAGGTAGGTAACTTGCTTAAGTGCTCCCAGCTGCTAAATGGTCCGGCTGGGATTTGGACACAGGCAGCCCGGCTCTCACTCCATGCACTCCACTGCTGCTATGTTACCTCTCTGTCTGTGTTGGACACCAGCCCTACTACTCTCCTTTTCTAGATACAATTTAACAGCCGTTGCCCGCTTCCAGGAAGCCTTCCCTCATGCCTCCCAGGATGAATGAATTCTTCTTGTCTCTTGGTTCCCAGAATGCCTTGCACATGTCTCCCCACAGCAGCCCTTCCCGTGGAATACTGCTGTTCTGGTTTGTGTATTGTCTTCTCTGCTGGATGATGAACACCTCAGTGGGGGAGGCTGCAACTCACACTTCCTACCCGCTCTTGCCCAGCCCAGCATCCCCATATCATCCACTCTCCATTCAGCAACCAGAGGCAGTTGTAAAATCAAACCTGCTTAATTAACCCATCCAGTGACAATCCATTGCATTTAGAAGGATTTGCATGGTCTGGTCCCTGCCTTCTCCTCGCCCTCGTCTGCTGCCACTCTCCTCACTCACTCTGCTCCAGTCACACTGACCTCCTCGCTGTCCCCAAACTGTCCAGGCTCTCAATAGCCAATAGCGCCTCTGCCAAAACTATTTCCTCTGCCTGGAATGTCTCACCCCACATCCACATGTGACTGACTTTTTGTAATTTGGACCTCAGTTCCATGTCACCATTGCAGACAGACTTCCCCTATTGTTTGTTTGTTTACTTAAATGTTTTCATATTTACCTTTTAATTGTTGTTAATGACAGTGTCTACTGCAAGTCTGTAAACCCCAGGAGAGCAGGGGTCTGGGGTGTCTTGTTCAGCACCTGGAACAGTACCTGACATCATAGCCACTCAATGAGTACGTGTTGAAGGAAGATTACATTGCTCTCCAAGGTCCCTTTGGGATCCTACAATTCGACTAAGCCCAGATAATATAATATAATTTATCTAAATTGGTCTCATCTCAGGCTAAAAGCTGAGAGAATTTCACAAGCTGAAATTCACTACCTTTATCACCTTCCTATGTCTTACCTGCAATCATACTCTCAGAAATTAAGCAATTTTATTGACTATTCTCTACTGACTTCTCTTTATCAGGGATGCTTAGAACTTCTTACACACGTTTGAATTTGTCCCCCTAAGACTCAATGAAACTTGTTAGATATTGTCCTCACCACTTTGCAGGCAGGGATATCCCTGAAAAGCAAAAACGCTGACTTGAGAAGTGCCCAGAGCCCAATGGGAGCACACACACCCGTCACGGCCATCACATTTCATTAGTAACAGGACATACATCACGCTCCAGGATGGTGCAAGAGCTCCGAGTCCTGCCAGGGCCTGGGCCTCATTTAACACCTCAAAGGAGTGGCAGTCTGTAGCCTAGAAGGACGTGTAGCCAAATCCAGGGCAAATGGGAAAAGAAAGGCTTCACGTGCTTCTGGTTAAAGCAAGCAGGATGGACAGAAATGCACAGAAATAAGGTCTGGGTGTCTGACTGCAGATCCATTGCTAATGTGAAGCAGCCAGAAGAGAGGTACCACCGTCCTCAACTTTCTGCAAAAGGATATAGAAGGGAAAGTTGTCAGGGTACCTCAGAGACCTACTTCCACACATCGTCATCCTCTTGAGAACCACTTTTGTCTCTTCCTTCCAGCTTCTTTGAGATGGGGAAGGAAATGGCATCCCAAGTGCAGGGGCTGAGAAAGTCTAACATTTAATCTTCCAGGCAAAATGGTGACCTGAATAGAACAGTTGATTATAAGTTCAAAGTCTTGACTCTGTCTTGGTCCTGTGGACATTTGGATACGTTCCTCCCCATCTCTGACCCTTGTCTCCCTCATCTGTAAAAGGTAGCTGTTGGGTTGGACGATTTCCAAATCATTGATTTCCATGACTTCACACTTTCTATATTCCTGAGCTTATGATTCAGATTACTTTTCTTTTTCTGTATGGGGCTCAATCTGTCTTTTGATCAGCCTTGCCACTAGTCACTGGCCTCTAACCCCAGTGTAGGTAGTGGAGATCATTCTGGCTTGGTAAAATCTGTTGAGGATTGACGTACCCTTTGCTTTTTCTGAAATAGTTTCTCTAATGCATGTGGCTTATCGCCGTAGTGTGGCCTCTCTCAAAACTTTCTGCTAAGGACAGGAACGTTCAGAACATATTGAAGAGAGAAAGTCATGATTTGAGTTAGTGACTTCCAAGGTGGAATGGCATTCGAATGGCAGAGGTCGTTATTGATGTTAAAAATCCTTTTGCATGAAATGATACGATGTCTTGGGTTTGCTTCAAAATAAGTCTCTCTGTGTGTGTGTACGTGTATGTGTGACGAGAGTGAGTATAGATGAAACAAAATTGGCCAATTGTTGAAGCTGAATGATGGGTACGTAGGGTTTTATTATACTATTCTTTCTATTTTAAAAAATGTGTTTGAAATATTTAATCACAAAAGGCCCTTTGGAGACTGACTCCAGCTTTCTCTCCACTCTCATTTCATAGTCCCCACCCTGAGGACCCTCTGGCACAGTGATATCACCCTGGTGGCTGTGATTTCACACTTCTAGGCCTTTACACACAGTTCCATCTGTCCAAGGTAGTATTCCTCCTTCCCTCACTGTTCATCACTCCTGCCTCTGTGATCTCAGAGCCTTGTGTACTCACCTTGAGTATAGCACGTATCACATCATATTGCAGTTGTTTTCCTTTCTGCTTCCTGTGCTGGTCTGTGTCCTTTTCAGGACACTTCTCTATCTCCCCAGTTCACAGCCAGTGCACATAAGAGTCCTCAGAACATGTTTACAGAGAGAATAATAACAGGAACGGTAGCTATTACTTTTGAGCACTTATTATTTGCCAGGTACTACCCTAATTGCATTACATAGGTATTTCGTTAAATCCTCACTGCAAGTGGATACTATTAACCTGTCTTCTCAGAAGGTCGCTCTCCCAAGGTCACATGCCAGTAAGTGACAGAGCTGAGATTTGGACTCAGAACTGAAACTACTCTGCACTTCTCTGCGCATCTGGGATTTTAAAGACTTATCTATGAATCTTACATAACAGGTCCAGGGTTTTGGGAGCCTGAACTTCAGGCTCAATTCTGCTGCTAAATTGCTGAGTGACCTTGGGCAAATTACCTCTGCCCCCTAAGCTCAGTCTTCCCATCTCCCGGTGAGACCATCATTGAGCGGGAGGATCACGTGATCCAAGGGCCCTCCCAGCTTCAGCTAGCAGAGAAAACGTTTCCTCTTTCCACGTTTGGTCTCCTACCTCTGAACTGGCCTCCCTGTTTGGGAACCTCCCAGCTTCTCAACCTCTTCGCTTGCTACTTGCAACATCCCAGAGCCCAGCCGTGTTCACAACCTGTTGTCCAGGTCCCCTCCTTCTCCCTTCCTTCCCTGCGGGTTTCACTCTGGAGGTGGGGGCGGAACCCTAGGCAGGAGGGAGGGGGAGTATTGTAGCTGCCGGCTTCGTGAGGCTTCCCCGCGGTTTCTCGGCCCCCTCCCCCCACGGAAACTCAGGCTCACACTTTCTAGGGATGTTCCGGGGACAGCCAGAGTCAGTGATTGCAGCTGCCAGCCTCAGGCATCTGTGTTAGGTTCTCCGAAGGAAGTCCGTGGTCCTGAGCTAGGGGTGGGGGCTTGGAGGAAAAAGGGGGCGGCGCACTCCTTCCTCCTAGCCTAGGCCTAGCCTGCCCAGCTGCAGCCCGGGACCCTTCCGTGTCTGTCTCCCCTCCCACCCTCTTTTCGACTTCCAGCTGGGACCCGCCATTGCACGGCCAGGCCTTGGTGAACTGCAGACCTAAGCCAGAGACGCGCGAATGTGACTAGGCCCCTCCTCCCCAGCTCGCCCCTGACACTGCTCTGGGGGAAGTCGAAATCCCCCCATCGAGTCAACCACCCACTCCCAAGGAGCGCGGGAGGCTCCAGCCCCTTGTCTTTGTTCGCGGCTCGCTGGGAAGCCGGAGCCCGGAAAGACCTGTCCGCCGCCGCGGTGCTGCCGCGGGGAGCGGAGCCGGAGGGGGCCAGGGACTGTCCTCCGCTGCCGTGGTACTGAACCAGAACCGAAAGAGGAGAGGAGCTGCCCGGGCGGCCGCTGTCCGCCTGTGCAAGTGCTGACCCGGGGAGGGTGCCACGCTGGGAGCGGGAGCTGTCCCTGAGGCGGTGCTGAAGAGATACGGAGCCTGGGGTTCCCTCCTCCTCGCCCCGGAAGAGCCGGCGGCAGCTGAGAGCTACTGGGAGAAGGAAGGAGGGCGGAGGAAGCCGCCCTCAGGGAGCTCCGCAGCGCGGGGCCTATGGCTAGGGTCCCTCCGGCGAACCTGCTCCAGCGGAGGCGGTGGCGGCTCAGCGACAGAGAGCGAGCGCGCGTTCTACGAACCTGTTGGAGGCTGCAGCTCCTCCGCGGCCGACCAGGGCGCCCGGCACCGAGATTCTGGCACGTCTCTCCCTCCCCCACTTCCTGGGCTTCTCCGCAGAGGCGCTCCCTCCTGCCCGGGCTAGCACAAGTGCACGCAGGGGCCGCCGAGCCCCTCTTCGATCCGACCCGAATGTCAGTCGGGCTGCAGGGCACAGACCCGAGAGGCCTTCCCCAAGGGCAGACCCGCTCCCAGGGAGACCCAAGCTTCCTGAAAAAGGAGGCGGGGGCTGGCGACGGGGACGAGAGAGGGCGCCAGCAGAGGTGTATGAAACCAAGAGCAGGCATGGGGGAATTCCCCATACAGTCATTTCTGCCCTGAAGTTTGGGGACTAACAGGGTCCTGTTACTTAAGGGACAAAGGGCATCCTGCCTTGGAAATATCTCTCCCTCCCTCTCCATTTCTGTGACCAGTGACCAAATGCATATCTTGTACCTGCTCTGTTGCAAACTCCACTCAGTGGTCCAACTGCCTCTAGTACCTAAAACTCCAGTCCATCATCTATCATTCCCTAGAGAGAGCTTTCTAAACCTTCCATATATATCGTGTATCTATAATAAAATGCAAGCTCTTTGGTGTGCTATTTAAAGATCCTTTACCAGGAAGACCCAGGGCCTCCTCTCCAGCTGTGTTCCCATCAGGACAGATGACCACTCCTTCTGAACAGGCGCGCCCCAGTGCCTTAGCACCTGCTGCTCCTTTGGGCTGGAACATTCTTCCCCCTTACTACTTATGCTTTATTTGCAAGTAAAAGTGTCTTCATTTTCAATGAAAATTTCCCTAATCCCTTAAGGCACAATCACTCTCTTTTCTAAGCTCCCTCAGCCTCTAAATTCCTTTACTAGACTACTTGTCACATTGTTTTGTAATTACTTACGTATCTATAGCCTCTGTCACCAGGCTCATAAAAGCTGCTTCCATGTTTTATCTTTGTATCTCCATCTCCTAGCACAATAGAACTGTTGAATCATTGAATTATATATGCTGAGTGAATGTACATGTGAGAAACAGAAGTCACAGTAACTTCCTTTCCTTCATGTGATTGCTCATTTGAATATATATGCATATATTCAATATATATTCAACATATAATTCATTCAACGTATGAATGTATATTCAAATGAGCAAGGAAAGGAAGATATTTATTTATTTATTTATTTTTAAAAAATCACAGCCTACAAAGCCCCACATGGCGTCCTTCCATCAACTCTCCCTTGACTCAGTAATTCCACCTACAGTAACTTCCATTTTGTACCAAGCTGCTTTTTTTTTTTTTTTAATTTACTTATTTATTTTTGGCTGCGTTGGGTCTTGGTTGCTGTGCGCGGGCTTTCTCTAGTTGCGGCGAGTGGGGGCTACTCTGCATTGTGGTGCACGGGCTTCTCATTGCGTTGGCTTCTCTTGTTGCAGAGCACGGGCTCTAGGCACTGGGGCTTCAGTAGTTGTGGCTCGCAGGCTTCAGTAGTTGTGGCTCGCAGGCTCTAGAGCACAGACTCAGTAGTTTTGGTGCACGGGCTTAGTTGCTCCGCGGCATGTGGGATCTTCCCGGACCAGGGCTTGAACCCGTGTCCCCTGCGTTGGCAGATGGATTCTTAACCACTGAGCTACCAGGGAAGTCCCTCAAGCTGCTTTAAAAAAAAATTTTTTTTTTCCTGTTTTCTCTGTTTGGGACCCTCATAACCTTGATCTTCACCTGGATGAATCTTCCTTGTCCTTTGGGTTTCAGCTCAAACGTCACCTCCTAAGGAGGCCTTTTCTGGCCATCTAATGTTTGCTTTCTGAATTACTCTTTAACATTGTGTATTTCATTTTTCTTAGTAATTATTACTCTCTAAAATTTGTATGTTTTCTTGCTGATCATTGACTTTCCCTCAACTGGGATTGAAACTCCAGTAGGGCAAAGATCGTGGATGTCTTACTCCATGCAGTATTCTCAATGGTTAGCATTCTGAGGGGCACTTACCTCACCCCAATGCATCTATAGTCCCTTTCCCCTCGGAAAGGTTTGAGCTATTGTGCAGGTCATTGTGCAAACTTCTATTAGGTGTAAATTAACTGAGAATGTTTAAGGAAAGAAGGTCACACTGACATTCCATAGGATGGGGAAGAAGAGGAAGTGGAGAGCCATAGACATGTGGCTGTGAGATGACAGCCTGAATCACAGCCCCCTTTCACCACCACAACTCCCTTCTCCATACCATAGAAAGCACTTTCACATCCAAAGTCTCATTTGATATTCATAACAGTCTTATCTGGCAGGTATTATTCTCCCCAACATCAAAAATATCTGAAGCCAAAAAAGTAAGACTCATTTGACCAAGATGACACAGCTTGTAAGTGGTGATGCTATTCCTGGTACTGTGCTATGTACTGGGGCTCTAGAACTAAGACATGGCTTCTGCCCTCCGGGATTTCACATTAGTAAGACATGGCACAGAAACAATGGATCATAATACAGTTTTATGAATATTCAGCAGTGGTTCTCAACCTGGAGATGGATGGGTTGGAAAAGAAATGGATATGCTGCTAGGGTCAGAATAAACTGACCTTCTTTTCAATAGCAGCTTCAATTTGTCCAGCCTTTCCCAGGTATCAGGCACTATACTAAGTGTTTTACACATGTTGTCTCAACTTATCATTCCTGCCTATTTCTCTCCCCATTTTTCAGAGCTAACAGAACCTTAGGGAGGTTAAGTAACTTGGCCAAGGTCATGAGGCTGGTAAACAGCTGAGCTGGGACTTAACCTGAGTTTGTCTGACTCAAAGCCCGAGTTCTTAAACCATTATGCACCCCAGACCTACTGAACCTGAATGTCTGGTGAGCAGGGATGGGCCTGGGATTTGAAGATGATTCTTAGGTCATTCTGTAATATCTTAACCCCTTTAAGAAACACTCATGTAGAGAGTGCTGCAGAAAGAGAGGAAGGAGGGATGAAAACTATCTGTGGGGAGGAGTTACAGGAGGTGGAAACTGGATCTTGAAGGATTAAGTGGGAGTTTCGAGGCAGACAGAACATAGAGTATTTCAGGCAGAGGGAATGGAATATTCAAGGTCCTTGAGGCATGGAAATTAAGGGACGGTTAGTGGTTTGGTGTGAATGGAGAGTAAGGCTGGTGTAAGGGATGAGAGATGGGAAATGAGTCTGGAATTCAGTTTGGACTTGGCTGTATGCCTTTATCCTACAGGCAGTGGAGAACAATTGAAAGGCAAGAGCTCTGATTTAACAACTGCCATTATCACCTTGATCATCTCACAAGAGCAACACTGGATAAGTCCTTTACAATCTGCAAAGTGCTTTCTCCTAACAGAAATATGGCTCTAGAGTGACGCTCCGTGAGGGCACTATATTTTGGGGCTTTTCTTAATGTTCCCTAGCACCTAGCAGAGAAGCTGGTACAATGTGGGAGCTCAGGAAGTATGTGTTGAAGAGGAAGAAATTGGAGGAATCTAGTTTAGAGGTTGCTGCAATAATTCAAGTAAAAGAGAAGTGTTGAGAAGCATCACTTAATCCAAGAGTGCAGAATTCTTTGAACTACTGACTCTGGAAGGTAAAAACCTATGGCCCCCTACGCCTGAGCACCTTCAAAAGGCTGGAATTTACTTATCCAGAATGGTTGCTGAAATAATTGCAACAATTTCCCTCTCCAACATACAGAAAAGCACACTGGCACCTAGGCAACCAGTGCACAGCAAAGCCAGGATTTCCTCTGTTGTATGCACTTTATGTCTTTTGGCTCCTGAAATTCGGTCCTGATGGTCTCTATTATGTGGCAATAACATTACGTGCCATCATTTGTTTCAGTGTTTTAAAGGGCAATCACCATGCTAATGAAACTCAGTCTTGGCTCAAGGACTAAAATCTATTTACCTTCTGTTTCTCCACCCCTCTGGGAAGTCCACATGGACCCTGATAATGGCTAACTTACAGACCACTGACTTATATTAGGTCCCTTTATAGCCCTTGACATATATTAACCCTGAGAGGTAGGTATGACTCATCCCCACTTTACAGATGGAGCATAAAGAAGTTAAGAGATTTGCCTGACAGAGGCAGGCTTCAAACCCTGGCTGTTTGGCTTGGGTCTGCAGGCTCCAACGTTATACCTGACTGCCTCCCATTCTGTTTCCTCCCAGACCTGTGTAAGCCTGGCAAATAATTTAATCTCTGAGACCCCCAGTTTCCTCCTCTGTAAATTGGGGATAAAAATAACTACTAAGGAAGGTTGGTGGGGAAATAAATGAGGTAATATATGAAGACATCTAAATGGTGCTGTTTTCTTTCCTGGTCTTCCTCATCTGGACCAGGGGTTCCACATCTGCGCAGCTGCTTGGGTCACTGGCCACGTTGAATTCTTCCTTTTCCTCAGCATCCAATCCATCAGCAAATGGTGGGGAGATAAATACATCCTAAATTAAATAAATTACATCCTAAATTAGTCTACTTCTTTCCCTCTCCACCACATCGCATCTCACCCACACACCATCATCCTCTTCTGCCTGGGCTACTACAGCAGCCTCTTAACTGATCTCCCTGGTTCCACTCTTGTTCCCCAAAGTGATTTTTAAAACATATATCCCATACAGAAAAGAACACAAATCATGGAAACAGTTTGATTAATTACCACAAAGTGATCACAACTGTGCAACCAGCACCCAGATAGTGAAATGCAACGTTATAGGTCCCCGTCATGGCGTCCCAGTTATTCCTCCCTTACTCTGCCTCATAGGGAGCCACACTTCTGACTTCTGACACTACAGATGGGTGTTGCTGACTTATAAAAAATCATACGCCATGTGTTTTGTATCTTTTGCTCAGTATCATGTTTGTGGAATTCATTCGCGTCATTGCCTTTGTCAGCAACGTGCTGCTTTTCACGACTGTGTCGTATTCCACTGTGTGGCTATATCTCAATTTGTCGATGGATTTTTGAGTGGTTTTCAAATTTTGTAGAGATCTTTTGATACATCTAAGTTTTTCTTATAGTCCCATGAATGAAATAGATGGATGAGGTGTGTATATATTCAACTTTAGTAGATACTTCCATACAGTTCTCCAAAGTTGGGATACAAATTTATGCCTTATAAGCTGTGTATGAGAGTTCTGGTTGCCCCACATCTTCACCAACCCTTGGCATT